TATTAATTAACATTATCTAATAATCTACTAGTGCCTCTAATAAGTATCCATATAAAATAATAAAGACACCGAAAGTAAACTTTCATTTTCATTTATCAAAACATGTATTTCATTTCAAAAAAAAAAAAAATTCATTTACACTAGTCATGTAGACAACTTTTAAATCATACTATGTTAATACATTTTCATGATTACAAAAATAAGCAAAAAATATAAGAGAAATACTTATCACCAGAATTGGATCAGAATCACTCCACTGGGTCCTTCCCCTTCACTAAAATCATCAAAACTCACAAGATGAATATAAGCCTAGTAGATCATCAGAACCTACCAGTGTACCTATTAATGCATGAAGAGTATAATAATATCAATGTAATCATTCAAGTCATGTTAGTACAACATATTTTATCAATTCATGTAAATAGGGTGAATTATAAGCAATCATAGTTACGTAATGATTAGTAATCATTGACTCAATTCTATATTACTATCTTATAAAGGCTACAAGAAGACTAACATGTGAATCATTAAAATGATGCTCTTATACCTTAATTCTATCAGCTATTAATGTAGGATAACATTATGAATGCCATTTTCATGCTTTATAATACTTTTTTTTTATCAGTATCTATCATGATGCATGTCTTGTCATGTTATGTATGGAGCATGTACCCATTCTCATGGGTCATGTGTATCATATATTTGTATATGTATTAGTATTCTTATGGATCATGTTGATGAATCATATTATATATCATATGGCTTATGCTTGATCATGTTATTTCAAATTATCATATTATATTTCACTTACACATTTGTAATAATACAAGTCAAGACATTAGACTAATATTATGGTGTTTTCCTGTATTATGTCATGTTTTATCATATCATATTATGTATTAGTGTTTCAATATGTTAGGTGGCTATCTTGTAAGAGTTGTCACTTTTGCTTATCGACATATCTTGTCCACTTATATCTTCCTATCATATATTTAAAACTTGTATCTTTTATTTGGATTACACTATAAAAATATTATTTAAAGAAAAATCACCCTCATGTACAAGATAGTTTGCTCCAGCCAACCTAAATGAGTCTATAACCAGGCAATCTTTCTTGTAATTTTGCATACATATGTCAAATAATAATAATAATAATAATATGCATCTTGTATCATATGGGTATTCAGTGTAATTAACATGTTGAGTATACATCTTATCAGTAGTTTACTCATGTCAGTATATATGCATGCCCTACAAACTATACCTGATGCATGTTATGTCAAATACACTATTTTACTATGCATGTTATATATGTCATATCCAAACTAAATACAATAATTTCTACCTAGTTTGTACATGTTTTTATCATGATCGTTTTAGTAAAAAGGTTGAACATACAAAACTAACCATGAGGAAAGACAAAAATGGCTTCAAGGCAAACTTCTCTCTTTTCTCTCCTCTCCTCTCCCCTTTCTCTCATCTCTTCTCTCCCCTTTTATAACATCTAATTCGTTTTTGTAATTTGATGAAAATTATACACATTATTCTAAAATTTTTAAAATTGATTTAAGGTGATAGATTCATGTTAATATAAATTGTAGTGTTTTAATATAATAATGAATGAGAGAAAGATGAGAGAGGGAGAAAAGAGAATACATGTATAATCAAATTAAAATTGAGGTTAAGAGAACTACTAAGAGCAGAGGGAGTACGAAATCACTTACGTCCAAAGCTCTATTTGGGTCTATTTGAAAACGTTCTAGTTAGCCTTAAAAAATATAAAGTTTAACATAATATATTATAAGACATGCAAAAAAAAAAAATCGTAAAACAAATAATCTTTTTTAAATACTAATAAATGCTAAAAGCATATAAAATTCAAATAGTGATAAGTGACTATCATATTTTGATTCTGATTCAAGGTAAAACTATTTTTTAGGCAATCTATGCTTTATATCTAAGAAATCTCAAAAGAAATTTAGATTATGATAAGTTAACACAAACCTTATGTTCGATCTTTTTGCTTGAGGTAATAATCTAGATAAAATAAAATTCCTATAGAATTGTGAAATAACATTTAATTTTATTTTTCTTTAAATAAACTGTCAAATAAAAAAAATATAAAACTTTTGGATAGTAATAATAATTTTTTTTTAAGAATAAACAAAATTTAGATGTAAATTATTTCAAATTCTTTCAGTCTTAAGAAATTCGATCTTGCTGCAAAAATATTCAATTTCTATAACAGGTGACATGTACCTTTTAAACTCCTAAAGCCTAACTTCTTTGGAGCCCTTGACTTTGAAACCACTATGATGCAGGGTTTATAAATTCATTATGTTGAAGACACTAATTTATTGTTTATGTTTAAGCTTGGGGAAAGCTAGGATTGAGTTTATGTAGAGAAGATGAGAATTGTGTTAGAAAATAGAAGGAATAAGGGTGATAAAAATAATTAAGAACTCTCTAATGTCATAGGGAATTAACCACCAAGCTTTATCAAAGACTTGAGCTACTATTGAGTATCTTCACCAAAAAACTTGCATACACAAAATAAATTTTATTCAATAAAGTAAAATGCATAGAGCAATATCTTATTTATGGGCCTTTTCAAAGCTTAGAGAACTTGAAAAGCTTTAGAAAGTACACTTATAATTGATGACTTATCCGAATATAAAAGAAAATAAAATAAAAGAAATAAAATAAAATTTAAATCTTTAAGAAATATTAAAAATTAAATTGGCCAAAAAAGATAAGTAGAAGGATATTATAATCGAATATTTTTTTAATTTTTTTTTTTTTGCTTCCTTAATTGGTATAACCCTCCTCCTCCTCAAGTGACCTTAAATTAAGCCATTTGACTATTCTCCAATTATTTTAGTGATAATATATGTTCTTCATGGACTTGCATGGAGAGTTATATATAATGAAAGGCTCAAATCTTAATGTAGTGCCTTGGTTTGTGACATTGGCTTTGACCTTTGTCATGGTGCTACACCAAATAATAAAATTACTAATTGAGCTATGAGCCTAATTAGAAAATTTACTTGTATAAAAGAATGATGGATAATAAAACTAGCATGATTGAAAATAAGGCACCAAGCACTGTTAAACTAATATATTGGGAGAAAGACAAAGATCGAGTTGCTTATAGATCAAGAGGAAACATAGAATCCATGGGGCTTTATGGTTCTAAGTGACTACATTAAAGGATAAATTGATAACTTTTTATACAATACCCTAGGAAGTAATAGGCATTGGTGCTCTTTAATATAAAACCAATTCCTTCTATCTTTAATCATTTGGTATATAAATGTAAGATCATTATCATCTGAAGTTAACCAAGAGGCTTCAGTCCTCTAAATAAGTCAAGCTATGATGAATCTATCTAAATAATTTTAGCTTAACTCAAAAAATATACCGATAAGGTTAATATCTAAAAATAAGAAGATTACAAAAACAATATCAAACATTTATCCCATTGTGGGGTCAGTTACGTGAATCTTATTTTCCATTATGTTTAGTTGAAAATCAAATTCTCATTTAACTATAATAAACATAATAATTTTTAACATTTTCTTACCAAGTTTTGATTGATTGATAAATTCTTGATAAAATGAAAAAAATTCTTCATTGATAATTTTTTAGGGAATATAACATTTTCTAATCAAGAACATTAACTCAGTAAGAAAATTTTAGAACTTGTGTAACATCTTTATGCATTTTATAGAGGATAAAAGTAAAGTCTCTCACAACAATAATTAGATCTAACTTTGCCGTGATGGGGTTGTTTACTTGATTGTTGCACTAAGAATAAGAGAGACCAGAGCAGTGAATATCTTTTAAGCCGGTCTAATAAATGCAATCATTAAATTCCATCACTTGCTAAGAGCAAATTTTAGAATCCGGCACAGTTATAATATCCCAAAACCATCCAATGCTCGTTCAAATTAATAATAATATCCAAAGAAAACTTGCCAAAGAGACTTCCTTCCAAATGTGGAATTATAATCTTCTACAGTAATATGAAACGATGTGATAGGATTGAGAGGACATGTTCCCATTGATTATAAGAAAAGAAGAGATTCTCCTATGATCATATTTATTAGGCTTCATTTCACATGATTTTCTTTATGTTTCTTAAATCAACCTTTTAGCATAAATATCATCAAAATTTTAATTTTTATACTAAAAAATTACTTCTTTAAAAACAGTAAGAAATCACTCCAAATGAAACATCGGCTTTCTTAATTTCTTTTAAAAACTACTTTCTAGTTTAAAAATTAAAATTTTTGAATTAGAAATCTACTTTAAGAAGCAGTAAAAACGTTGTCTCAAACGAAGCTTTAATCTGCATCCTTCCACCAGAATCATTAAAAAGAATAATGAAATATCTCATTATAAGTCCAAAAAATCAAATGCATGAATCATGATTTCAAGAAGACAAACGTAATCAAAATGTTTGAATCTCAACAACCACTTGCAGTCCATCGGGCATTCGCGGAAAACCGCTAACATTCCAAGATAAAAATATTACAGGTACATAATTATGTAACATAAAAAAATTTAGAGGGGTTAGGAATGTCGCTGGGACAGCAAAATTCCTTCAATAGGGCCCCCATCAGAGATTCAATCTCTTTTCAAAGGGTGAAAGGCAGCTCGACTGAAGATATCAGGATTTTGTATACGGGTGGAGAAATTATTCTATGTGGTCACCGGACGTCATCCGGATGCTAATTAGAACATGTCACGTCATCTTTTTCTATGTACTAAATGACGTGACGCATCCTAATTCATCTCCAAACCGTCCGGTGACCACACAGAATAACAGGTGGGAGAAAAAGTATCATAGTTGGAGCTTGACATTGACATTGGAAAAGAAAAGAGGTTATATAGAAGAGGCAATAAGAGTTACTGCTATATTTTCTTGATCAGGATGAAACATAACCCAAAAAAAAAATCCATCTTTTTTACTATTACTAAAATTTTGGACAATAAACTGACCAAATGAAGTGCAAAATATATTTTTTAAGGACTGATAACACCCTGATAATGATGTATTCGTTAGTTCTGTTTAAGTAGCAATATAAAATATAGAATTACAATCATGTCCCATGTTTTAACATAAATATCTGACAAATTGGTTCAACAAATGTATTTTCTCACTTGGTAGACCACCTGAAAAGAACCATTTATAATTCATCAATACAGCTAGATCCTCTGAAAACTACTTAACTTACTCTATTATTATTCAGTGCAATGCCGCAAGAGATTACAAAAGACGGGAATCCTTGCAAATCAAATCATTTGATGCTTTTCCTCTATCTCTTATACTGAGAGAGATGGACTATCACATGCCAAACCCATTGTATTTAATCCATTGTCGACATAAACTACAGAACCAGTGATAGCTGAAGCTAACGGGGATACCAAGAAAGCCGCAACGGCACCAACTTCATCTGTACAGCAATTTTTTTCAAAAAAGTAAAATAAGCAACAATATAATAACTATTAGGAGGGAAACCACAAATTTAAGTTTTTCTCTTTGATCTTTGGATGTTTACCGGCTGACAATTCTTTCTGCAATGGCGCATTAACATATGAATACTCTATCATCTTCTCAATGAATCCAATGGCTTTCGCAGCACGGCTTCCCAGTGGCCCTGATAATTTGAGTAAAGTGGAAAAAATGAAAAATATTATATACAGAATTCCACAGAAGGTTTTTTATAGTAGAAACTTAGATATAGGCAATTTTGTGCTGAAATTTCTGTTTTGAATATGCATTTGATATTTCATAGCTGGGAGAGGAGTGATTGGCAACACATACCAGCAGAGATTGCATTGACTCTAATTTGCTTTTTCCTTCCTGCTTCAAAAGCTAGTACCTTCATCAAGAAGCTATCAGCTTAGTACTATGAATGAACCGGCATAATGAATATTGCAAAACAAAGAAAGAATGGATCGTGAACTATATGGATTGCTTACTCTCGTATCACTCTCAAGTGCTGCTTTTGCAGAACTCATACCTCCACCATATCTGCAAGTGCAAACATAAAAGCTTACCACTGTTATTACATTGCATTAACTACTTCTTTATGTTATGGGAAAAGTCAAAATGAATAGTGGATATTACCCTGGAATGATTCTCTCAGAAGCAACGTAAGTGATTGAGATTGTCGCACCCCCTGCAGCAAACAAGTTATTTGGCTCTATAGCATTTGCAGTAATTCTCAAAACTTAAGAGTCAAAAAAGAAAACCCTGAAAGAAACTTCAAAGAATTTACCACTAGAGTACCTGGATTTATTATGGGAAGGAAATGCTGAAGTAAAGATATAAAGGAGTAGCTGGATGCAGATAAAGCTGCAAGGTACCCCTTTCTGGAGGTCTCCAATAGAGGCTTTGTCACCTGAAAAAATAAGGTGCTGTTGTACAATTGAAAGTTGAAGGGAGAGAAACTATGAAATATAGAGTAGAAAGCAACATACCTCCGGCCCATTAGCAAGGGAATGCACAAGAATGTCTATACTTCCAAAATCATTCTTTATGGATTCAGCTACTTCCTAATTCAAAAGGAAAAATGCAATGAAAATTGACATAAAACTAAGCAAGCTGTAATTTCTCAATAATGCAGAGATTGAAAATTATCAACTTAAGAGGTCAGAACAGTAATCACACATATCTCATGCAAAATTATAAAGTAATTTATGCACTGATGTGAAGAACGTCACAAGGTTTCGGTGCTGACCGTCACAGTCCAATTTGAAGAACCTGAATAACGCTTGTTCGATTTAATCTATATACAAAACAGCTCATTAGTCAATCAATATTGATCTACCAAGAAAAGAGGACAAAAATGTAATAACAAAAGCAATATGTGTATATTACATAATCAGGAACATCCTCAAGACTATCAAACACAGCATCGAGGGGATAAACCTTAGCAATCTCCAAAAGCGAGCCATTTGGAAGCCTGCAACATAGCATTAAGTATTATACAACACAAAGTAGGCGTCATCTTGCTGAGAGACCCTACATCCTTGTAAAGGAGGATAAAAAGATAATGGCTTTTCTGCTATCAAAAATACCGTCTGGAATCATCAAACTTTCCACGTCTTAAGCTAGTTTCAAATATGTTTAATGCCTACACAGGATAAGCCTTTCATGAGATATAGCTGAAAAGACATGTATCTACAACATCAAAGATGGCGATGAAGTGAAGAAAACATACAGGCACCCATGTTCCAATAAGAATCTCTGCGCCTGCTGCAGCAAGAGCCTTGGCAATAGCCCATCCATATCCATTGTCATCAGCTACTCCCGCAATAAATGCCCTTTTACCTAATGAACAAGATAATGCAGAAGATAAAAATGTCCATACTGCAAAGATTTAGCTGTGTTCATAGAATGATAAAATAATGCAACAAGAATTAAGAACAAACTAATTTAAAAGTCAAATGTTTCATATCACAAGACCTGAAATCTGAAAGATTTATTTTAGAAAAGAATATAATTTTTTATGAGGAAATGCCTACCAAAAGAAATTCGAGTGCATGAAATAATAATAAAGAAATCAAGTACCACAAATATGCATTAAGATTTATGTAGTTTTAATACAACAAGAAGTTTACATTCACAAGAGAGGAGAGAATCTAATTCACAGTAAATAATTCACTACAAGGAAATCACACAAGTGTAGAAATAAAATAAGGCATAAGAAAATACTTTTCACCAAATTAAAAAACAACCAATTTAACCACAAAAAGAGAAGCCCCAAATCTCTGAAGTCAAACACCCGACAAAATCACACAAGGGAGATTCTCCACAGGTTCATTAAAAAAATACCTTAATGCATTTTTATAGAACTATTGCAATATCTCTCACATCACTGTACATTTTTTTAATAAAAATGGTTGAAAATCTTTATGATGATTATAGTAAAAAATATTCTATCAAGAAATGATTTGTCAATAGTTTATTTACTTTTTTTAACTAATCAGTTTATTTTCTCATCTTATTTATAAAATTAAGAACATGCCAATCATGATGGCCTGGAGAGGTTTGTATTTTAATTTCTAGCTACAAGTTAGTGTTACTAGAAATTGTTGATACTATTTAAGTATTTATTTTACTGTGAAAATCCCTCTTTTGTTCGTTTTTGTGCAGGAAATTCCAGGAAAATGTCTTAAATTTTAGAAAAAGACAACAGCGATGCGGCACCACATCATCAAGCATAACAGCGCTCTCAACATCGGAGAAGAATGCTACGACACTCCAACCTCTAGAATTTGGCAATTAATTCAGCACCGCAACGCCACATCATCAAGCATCACAGCACCGAAGAAGAACGTCGTGGCGTCCTGACCTCTGGAATTTTGCAAACTAATTTAGTGCCTCAGCATCGCCCCATGGAACACCGCAACACTATTTAGGCGCTGGTAGCGCCAAGGAGAGATCAAAGACGTAGCGTTGGTCAGCGCTACAACACCAACCAAATCACCCTAACACCGCGGCGCAACTGTTGAGATGATTATTACCTAGTAAAACGACATGTCGATTCATACCCGGTGCCGCAACGGAGAAATCCAATGGCACCGCAGTGCTAGTTTACTTCAGCAAAGCCACAGCGCAACACTTTGCAGCACTACGATGCTAGTGTTAGTTATCGTGTTAAATATAAATAGTTTTTTGGTCAAATTCTTTAGCGCTAGCTATTTTTTTATTGTGCAAAACAATGTGAGAGTCAGTGGAGAGTGTAAGAGTGGGAGTGCTTAAGGGAAAACCATTTGGAGAGAAAAAAGTATTTGTAATCAATTGTAAAGATGCTTTTGGGTGACATCTTACAAACTCATCTTTTATATTTTGTTTTTATTGTTTAATGGAAACTATTTATTTTATTTTTCTATCAATGGCTGGCTAATTTACTTGTTCTGAACTTGTGATATGTGAGAAAGCATGATTTACTTTAAGTAAACTCTAGTGCTTGCAAAGTTCAATATTGTTTTCAATTCTCTTTATCTTAATTTAGTTATTGCATCGACCATGCTCTAACTTAAAACCTACTGTGAATTATTGTCTTGACGAAGGAATAGATGAACAAATGGGAGAATTGACACGAAACACTACCATGTATAGATATATGATGGCTAGGGTTTTGATTTCAAATGTGATATAATAATTGTAGTAAAGTGAAAACATTACTTGAAACTCTTACAAGCTCAGACAGAGATCTAAGAGTGTTATTGCTCTGATTCACAGCACATATTAGGGGAGTTAAACTTAAGCAGAATTGCATTTCCTCACCATCATAGATTCATAACACTTTCATTTGTTGAACCATAGTTTAAAATTGCGCAATAAGAGGCGCGCCTCTGTGCAATTCGGACCAAAATAGCCTCATTGTCTAAGCAATTTTGGTGTTTGATGAGGCTTACGCCTCAAGGAGATTGAGGTGCGCCTCAATGACGCTATTGCGCAATTTTGGCTGAGGCGTGCGCCTCATGATAGGGTTCCACTCAGTTATAATAAAAAACCTCTTATCTTTTTCCTTCTACCGGTCCAACCCGAACCGAACAAAGCACTCCCGCAGACGACAGCTCTCCTGCACGATCCCGAGCAGTACCGAGAAGGTAGAGAAAGTTTTAAAACAACTCTTACAATAAAAATTTGTTCCGGAGGAGCTGCCCCTGAAAACGCCCGTCAGAGGGCAACGCCCCTTGGACCCCCGACATAGTCGCAACATAGTATTTTTTCATTTCAATTTTTATTTTGATATTATAAGATACAATGCTACAAATAATGTTGCTTTCAATTTTTTTTGTCATTTCAAATATTACCCTTTGACTACTTTCTTAATTTTTATGTATGATTTATATATTATAATGTCGTATCCGCACCGTATCCGTATCATGTATTTTTAAGAATTGACGTGTCACGTATCCATATCGTGTCGTATCCGTGTCGTCGTATCCATATCGGTGAAACATTGTGGGACATGATTGGATTTGATATGTTCTTTCTTATTTGTACTTTGGGAGTTTATAGACTTATATTTGTGGTTTTTTACTTTGAATTATGCTATGAGATGCATATATTGCATCTATTTTATTGTTTTCCACTAATTTCACTTCTCATTTAGATATTTTTATTGTATGATAGACTCTTACTGTTATTTACCTGCTAGAATACTTTAATTCTCATTTACACAATTCTTCGTCTGTGAGGCTTACGTCTCACACCGACTCGAGGCTTACGCCTCGCCTCACAGGCGAAAAATGCCTCGAGGCTTATTTACGCAATTTTAAACCTTGTATTGAACTTTTCACTTCAGCACCTATAGTAGGAACTTTAGAATTTTTTTTTTTTCATTCGGATTGGTAGGATAAATCTTTTCATTCATATAAACAATACTAGGATAATAGTCCTCGTGAGATCGACATTAACTCACTTTTTTATTACTTGTATGGCACGTGCACTTGTGTACAAATCAATTTAGCTATATTCAAAACTAGCATATTTTTCTTATAAGCTAATTGATTGCTATCAGTTAGTTCTTATAGTTTAGCATGACTTCAGTTTTGATGGTACTTGGGTTAATTTCCTCAAGTGGCATATTCTCATATGTGAATGTAGTTGGTGTGGTAATTTTCAAGATGTTGTGCATGGGAAAGTGAATATTAGCCTGATTTGGATTCAGGCTTTGGGGTTGTGATTATTGGTTTTTTCTCTTGGCTTATTAGTCTAACAGTGGATGTTTGAATGGTTGACATTTCTTGCAGATGAAGTTGTGGGTTGTTATTCCTACAGGTTGTTGGTTAGCAATTTTTGTATGATTAATTGTATGTGTCATGGTTTTGAAAATGGCACCGAACAGGCTGGTTCGATCAGTTCAACCATGAATCGGTCATATATGGCCGGTCCAACCCTCCTTAAAAATAGGCCCAGTATCAAATCGGTGTGAACCGATTTGAACAATCGGTTCAACCAGCCAACCGTTGAACAAGTCCCGATTTATAAGAACTGGCCAGTTCAATTGATCTCTAATTTAAATATAACAAATTTAAATTTAATAATAAGTCTAAAATTTTATAATAATTATTTACAATTTAATCACCAACACAACATGCCCACATGGTCCCATCATTCCATGTGAGCTCTAAACCCATGACAACAAAAAAATCTATATAAACAAAACAAAACAAAACTCGTAAGTGATGTGGGACTAAATAACTTAGTTAAAACTTGAAATTTCTAATTTAAAACATATACTTTATATATTTTTAAATAATTTTTAATTATTTTTTAAATAATTTTTAATTATTTTTTAAATAATTTTTAATTATTTTTTAAATAATGAAGGTTCAACTCCCATTTCAACCCCCGGTCGAACCATTGAACCTCTCATTTTTTCAATTCGATGTCCAGTCTAACTTTCACAACCTTGATATGCGTGTGATTTCCACATCTATGGTTTGGTTTGTTTTGTATGCATCTTCAATTAGAGTAGGATAAAAGTTTAGAGTTGACAGTATTTTATTTGATTTGATTAGAACTATAATTGAGAGGAATTTGGATCTGAATCAAATATGAAATTTATTCTTATCTTTTTGGCATTAATAAAAATTTAAATAGAGTTAATATTATGCCATTCATATCAACTAGCTTAACAATGAGTCTATAAATGGTTGTTATAACATAATTTATAACTTTTAGCATTGAATAAATTCATTCTTGTTAGTGCAAGTTCGATATATGATTCCTTTAAGCATGGTAAAGGTTCTTTTGCCTAATTCTGATGAAATCATCACCTTAATCATCTACATATGATATTTACTGATTTAGAGAAAGCATATGATAATGTTCCGAGAGAAGTGTTCTAACGAGTTCTAGAAAAGAAAGGAATTAATAATGCTTATATATATATATATATATATATATATCTAAGCTATTATTTATGTTCAAAAACAAGGTGGTTTGACCATTTTTGTTTTCTATTTCAGTTGGATTCCATCAAAGATCAACATTAAGGCTATCTTTTTTCTAGTTAAAACCCACCAACAGGCCTACGCGTTAATTAAGGCAATATCTTTTTGCTTTAATCATGGATATTCTTACTAAACATTTATAAGAGGATGTACCCTAGTGTATGCTTTTAGTTGATGATATTCTTCTTTTTGATAAGACAAAAGGGAGTTGCAGGAAACTTGAATTATAGATGTCAACCTTAGAATTTAAGGGTTTTTGTTTGAGTAGATCTAAACCGAATTTATGGATTGTAATTTTAATAGTATTAGAACTAATGAGAAGATCGTGACTTTGGGTGAACAAGTCATTAAAACGAG